CAAGCATCGGTGATCATTAGATCATTGTTCAATATGTTTGCAACTGAAGTAACAGAAACCCGAAACAGCCGGCGTGAATCTGAATCCGACACCATGGCTGTACCCGGCGGCGGGCTGTACACGCTCCCGAGCGCCGTCCAGCGAGGCAGAGGAAGACGACTAGACGACTGCCTGTCGGACTGCAGACCTCAGGCCATCACTGGTGGCGGAGGTAGTCAGCTCAAGCCGGGCCCGGCTCAAGCCTGGCAGCTCAAGCTCCTTGCAGATCAGCAGATCGGATGGCGTGACACTTCACCGCTGAAGAAGGGCAGAACGGCAGAAGGGACCACCAGACTCACCAGACCACGAAGGGACCACAAGAATTCCTTGGCAGCCCGGCGGCTTGGCAGCTGAGCAACTTGTCACAAAACTTGAGCTCTTGAGCACCAGCTCACCAGGATTCCAGATCCTGGCATGAATACCGTAGATGAATCATGGACGGCCCGTTGGAATCTGCAGCGTGTCTGCAGCAAGCTCAGAAGCTCCGAACTCAGTGTATGGTCCCGAAAGTCAGTAAAGTCGAGTCTTGAGCCGAGTCTTGAGTCACTTTTTAGAAACCCTAAAACCCTAAAACCCTAAAACCCTAAAACCCACGACTTTTCCCGACTCCTAACTTCTAAGTTTCCGCGTTGTCAAGATACCTATTGCAACTTCGATTCTCTTGCGCCGGCGGCATATTCAAACACGTTCCCGCCTTTTCCGCTTGCCTGCGCGGTATGTCGGTTTTCACATCGGCGGCGCTTGCCTAATTCGTTTTAGGGATCGATGTTCAGCACTAGTGTCGATTGGGGCTGTTGCCGTCTCTTTGCAGAATCGGAAGAAAACGGCGAAGCCAATGGAACCGTGGCCAACCCTAGGTCGAGCTCAGCATATTCGGGCGTTTGCAAGGCAGGACCATCGGGGTTGCGGTCGCTATTTATTGAACCGAACGCGCGCGTGCGCCCGGCAGGCAAAGACCTGGTTCTGCGGGCAGCGGCTATTACAGTACCTTGGTACATGATCCTTTCGAAGGGAAGCGTGTCACACAGTTACATAGCTCGAGGCAGGCAGAGGAGGCTGATATCAGTGATATGTGGAAGGAGGCGGGATCAACCTGAGTAATAGGTAGCCAGAATCTGAACATTACCTAGATAGGCTATGGGCGGACTCATTGGCACAGGGATCAACGAGTTGGTGAGTGGTATTGCAAATATGCGTTAACCTTGCATCCTCTCTAGACGCTAAAAACTCCAGGGCATTATGTCGCAAGCATGATTGTCAACATCTGACTTGATAGCCGCTATAGGTCAGACCCAATGGTGCAACAAACTCTTTCCACATTGCATATGGTGATTGCCACCTGGTTTGAGCTGGTCCTGCCAACGTCATGGCTGTTTCTCCGCCAAACTCTTGAAGTTTCTCTATTTCTGCATTACCGACAGGCTTGTTCTAAAACATAGACCCAAAGCTGTCAAGTAGCAATTGCAAAACTTCAAGCGAATGATATATTTGCCACCATTGTATCAGCCTCGTGTGGGCAGAAATGTACGTAGTACTGCAGACGAGTTCCCCTATCAAGTCACCTCAAATACATTCTCTGCCTGCTGGAGCTAGGCTGGTCACGATGGAACCCACGCGACGCCCTCAGCGGCAACGCAGAGTCCCATCCCGATTCCTTGAAGATGGTGAGACGCCGGTTGTTCCCAAGGAGGCGGCTGCCGCCGAGCTGCTCAGAAGCGCCCGACCATCAGGAAGACCGGAGAAGAGCAGCAAGGTGAAGCCAGAGTCCCTGATGGCAAGCCACGTACTCAGCTAGTAGTTTCTAGGTCTGTTGAGCGAAGGTTGCCCATATCCCCTGTGCACGTCTGGGGGTTCCGCTTTGCTGTGGGTGGGTCTTGCTTACAGAATGTGTTATCGCAATTCTTCAGAGAAGTGTTGTTCTCTCGATGATGTCCATTGAATGTTTGCAGCGCCGGAGAGGTGCAGCTAAGAAAGCGAGTGGGGGCCAAGGAACCCGCAGCCCTGTGGTACCCCAGAGCTTTACTGGCCCTCTGGTAGTGGACGTGGCCAGTGTTGCAGGCGGGGCCTCAAGTGGCGAGCCCCAGCTGGACGTGCTTGCCGGCCAGGGAGGTGCAGCCAGAGCGCAGGCTGCGCCAGAGGCACGCAAGACAGCACCCTTGAATGGCCACGGTGCCAAGCAGGGTGGAACATCGTCGGATGACTCAGACGTGATGATCGTAGAGCCGGCGCCACCTGGCATGGTCAAGGTAGGGGAGCAGCAAGAGACAAGTTCCATGTCACCCCCGCCACCTCACCCCGGAGCTCAGAACAGGTGAGCAACACGCGCAGGTGCAGCCACACTGAGAGCAGGGCGCCTGAAAGCCTGCGAGCAAGAGTGTATCAGGTACACAAGACTCTTCGTTTAGAGGGTTCAACTGGAGAAGGCTTTTGGCTTAGCTCTTGATTTTGTGTTTTTTCTGTGAACCTGGCCCATCCTTTAACCTGTGCACAACCATTTCTGCTCAAATTGTACTTTTGGAAGCAGAGAGAGTCTCTCCCTGTGTCTGCAGGTGCACTCCGCATGACCCCCCCGCCCGCACATCCTCCCCGGGGCCCATTCCCCCGGCGCCTGCCTCTGCAGTGCCCGTGGCAACAGAGGCTCCAGCACCAGTGGCTTCACCGCCATCACTGCCCGCATCGACGCCTCCACGCAGTGCAAATCCTATCTCCCGGCAAGCAGCGCAGAGCACTTCACATGAAGCCCAGCACGCAGCGAGGTGGGTCATCTCACTGGGCTGTTTGACGTGCAGCTACATGCCCCTTAGGCTGCCAGCTGATGCGGCGCAGCAAGCGGTCATATGTGCTTAGGCATGCTTTCAGCAGAGGCCATCGCTGTCTCACCCTGTCGTCGTGCGGGGCAGGTTGGGTGCACCCGGCGAGCAGCCTGCCTCCCCGCTGCCTGTGGGCCCTTCCGCCAGCCCCTCCACTGGCGCGGTACGCCGCCTCTCCTGCGCCACTCTCGGCGATTGCTGTCCATGCTTGCATTGGTCGCAGCGGGCGAGCGGCCACCCCCGTCGCATCTCATGCGCTGCGTTTGCTTCCACCTTGGCGGCCATACTCTTCTGCTGAGACCAGGCTTGGAGCAAGGTCGATCTGGTGGGGATTTTCTGGGGCTCTCTTCTCAAGTTGCATGCCCCGTTCTGCAGGGCCCTGTACCGGATGTGTTTCAGCCCCTCTTCCAGAGAGAGGCCACCCCGCCCCGTCCCGACTTCTCAGGTGAGCTGCCATCTGGGCTGCCCCAGAGCAGGGGCTGGGCAGGCTGGCCGCGTCTGTACGGCTCTGTAACACTCAGTCGGCCCCCACCAGGGCAGGCCTCGGCTCCGTGGAAGCCCCACCTGCAGGGCCATAACGGGGTGGGCCCTGCGTACCAGCAGAGGACCCTGAGGGCCTCTGGGGGGGGCTCAACGCCATCTGGAACAACGCCCACCTGGGCCTGGCCATGCACTATATCGACTCAGCTTGCATGGCGTCCCTTCTTTCAGGGCTCCGCATCCCCTGCCCGCTTCCCCTGTCCTTGCCAGGCAGCTTACATGCGGCCCGGCAGCCGCCCGGCAGCCTGTTCTTAATCCATCTGCCTCCCTTCGTCCTGCTACCTGCTGCTCAGCCTCCGTGCGGCCTGCGTGCGGACTGACTGTGTCCGCGCTGGATGCAGCTGGCAATGATGACGCCTCTGACTCCGACAGCGATGGCTTTGACATTCTGGCCCCACGTGGCCGCAAGGGGAAAAAGGTGGGGCGCGCTGCCTTCTCTGCCACAGGCATCTCGACTGCTGCATGCTGCCTCGCACTCCCGATCTCCTGCTCTTTGCGGCGTTCTCGTCGCTGCGCCCTGGGTGTCTGGTCCCGCCTGGTGGCTGCCCGCCCGTCATGACCTGCCCCGTGTGCCTCGGTGCTGCAGGCTGCGGTGCGGCCATCTCATCGCGGGGGTCGGCTGGACACGTCGGCCTCCCCTGCTGGCAGCAGCCCGGACGGCAGCGTGCATGGCACACCGGCGCGGCGCAGCGGCGGCACCCACGATACTAGCTGGCTCAAGCCGCCTTCACCAGAGTTGACAGTGCGTGGAGCCAGGAACTGCGCAGTCCCAGAGAGCGCCACCCTGCTCCGGCTGAGGTGAGATCAGCAGTACTCTGCAGCAGGGGACGCTTCACACAGGGCAGCGACAGCCCGGCAGGAGGCGTCGGTGCAGGGCCTGCAGAGGGCCGCCACCAAAGGCGCCCGTGCTTGTCCATCGGCTGTCCCCTGTGTGTTTCGACCTGTTGCGGGAAACAGATGTGAGGCCGAAGGAGTGCCGGCGTTGTGCCGGAGCTGCCATGGCCTGGTCGTGAGCGGGCGCGTGTGCGTGGCGCGGTGCAGGCAGCAGCGCGCGGAGCTGCTGGCCCTGGCGCGGGGGGCCAGCCTGGCCCCGGACCGCATCCAGGCGCAGTCGACAGCGGAGGCCCTCGAGAGGGAGCTCCAGAGAGACGCTGCGCAGAGGGAAGCGCAGGTACGCCGGCGGCCATGCTGGCACGGCTCTCACCCTGCGAGGGATTCGCAGCTGCGTGTCTCACATGCTGAACGGATGGATTGCCAACGCTCAAGCTCGTTTCTTACAGCAGCCTACCGTGCTCATGGCATTCATCATCGCCCTTCTTCCACGGTTTGGCCAGTGCTGGTTCGGGCAGGCCCACCGAATGCCCGTCGGGCCAGGGGGCAATTGCTGGAGTTCGTGTATTTAGAAATGGCACCCGTGCTGTTGGCTCGTCATGCTGATTCGAAAACAACTTCAGGAATCGGTTTGTGTTTCAAGGTCGGTTGGTACCGTGGTGCTCTGGCGCTTTATGGACACTGTCTGGGCTTCCCTCTTCATTGCGGTGGGCTGGGTGTGCGGCTGCTACAGGCGGCAGTGCTACGAGCGAAGGCGGCTCCCAACGAGAGCGACGACGAGGAGGGGGTGGCGGGTGGGGCCGCGCGCGAGCAGGGCGGCGGCGCGCAGAGTGTCCTGGTCAAGGTCCGGGCCAGCGACGGCTCGCAGGAGCGCTTCAAAGTGCGATGCGTAAGTGGCCCGTAACATTAGCACGATCCGCTCGCAACTTTTAATGCGCTGGTTCACCTGTCAGCGATCAAGGGCAGGCGCACTAGACCTCTGGCACTGCAGAGCTCGCAACAGCAGTCGAACATGAGCCGACCCCCGCTTATTGGCACGGCATCCAGTACCTGTGCCCGCACTCGCTCATGAGGACCACTCACGACACAGGAGGGGCCGTCGCTTTGCAAGTCGGCGGCTAACGGGCAGCCTCCCCGTTTTGCAGGGCGACCCCTTAGAGAAGCTGTTCCGGGCGTATGTCAAGAAGGTACACCCGGGGGCAAGCCCAGCAGGCGCGGCCTTCAGCTTTGTTTTCGATGGGGATCCAATCGACGGCAAGTCTACGCCAGAAGACCTCGGACTAGAGGACGATGACATGATTGAGGTTGTGCAATCGAAGTAACGTCCCGTTAATCTGACTCGACAACGTTTGTTGCTGCGGTTGCATTTACGCAAGGCGGTTGTCAACGGCACACCTATCTTGGTTGCGCTTCTTGCAATGCAACCTTTGGCACTGACAAATATCTGCTAAGTCAGTCGGTACGATAGTCTCTCCGGTATCGCGACAATGCCGCACAGTTTGAATAGATGTACAGCAGTAATCTAATGATCGAGCATGCGTTCAATCCTAATGTCTGTAAACGCATTTTGCTCAGTAACATACCATATGTACTTACATAACATCGCATGTGGATGAGTGGCCATGGCTGACATTTGAGATGACGCACGTGTGACGATCACAAAGGCTGCAGAGATTGCCTGAGAGATGCCTACGTCAGTGTCATGCGGAAATTCTATATAACCCGGGCAGTGGATGTCATGCGGCATGCAACTCTATAACGCGGGCAGTGGATGATAGGTGCACGTGTTGAATTGTTCATTAGACCATGAGCTAGAATCTGACGCGTTCTAGCAATGCCAGATTGCGATCCAGCGCATGCGGAACACAATGAGCGTACGTGTTAAGCGCGTGCTTCCAACAATTGATTGAAGCTCGGCGAATCGTCATGTCGCGACGGTACATGGCGGACCGCCCATAAGGGGCGGGCCGGGGCTTGCCTCTTATGCCGCGCGAGTAATAGGCAGGAATTTTGATAATGTTTTTATGGCGATGTGTTCGAGAGGAAATTGGTTCAAACAGTATATTTGGAGATCTCTCGATCAATGAGATCGTATACTAAAATCGTATATCAATCACTGCCTATACGAGGTACGTTACCAGTGGTCAATCAATCAATCAATTTTTTGAGGTAACGTAGCCCTATCAAAATGCAGGCCCTTCGACGAGAAACTTGAAACATCAAATCTGCGTCGCTCTGCGGGGCAGTCCAGAAGCTGAAAAGCGGCGCTGTGGCTGGTATGCATGGCCCAATTTCCAGAATCACTGTACGTTTTGTTGTCGAACACGGGGCAATCAACTTCTGACAAACTCCTCATACTGGCCACCCTAGCAGCTGATTGCCACGTCGTACAGCCCGGATTTTACAGTAAAACTACAACTTGCCGTTTTACTACGTAAAAAAGAGGCAAGCCAATATGCGACGCATGTCATTCTAATAAGATTCAATTCTTGCTGCATGTGTGGTGAATCGACGTTTTGATAACATTCGGCTACGTGGAAAGACGAACTTGAACACAATCAGCACAAGTTGCTGAAGCCGCTATAGGAGTCTCATCTACATCTTGAGAAAGCAAACCACATCCCTTTGAAATAGATTCCTAGCGAGAGGAGAGCTAGCGCTGCAGCAATGTATAAAAGCGAAACACCAAGGAGGGCTACATAAGATGGCAACTCCTCGCTAAGACCTAAGAGAATGGTAAGGGCCACCATTTGCGATGCTGTTTTCCATTTACCAAGAGCATTCACTGCAACGGCTTTGTGCACGTCTCCTGCTTGTGACGCGGCCCACTCTCGAAGGGCAGACATTGTAATCTGCATGAACAGTAAATTCGAGCATAAAACTCGTGACAAGAAAGACAAGAAGCTTGACACCGAGAGCTTCATTGAAAGTCTCTGCAACATCTGCCAACTGTGGCAGCCTCGTCCAAAATCGAGCAAGCCGAAGAGTGACTTTTGAGCCCTTTGGTGGCCACAACTAGGTAATTGGAGGGCCCAGCTTCTGCTCTTGCCCACTGATCGACAGATGGTCAGGGAGGCTGACGAAGATATTGGATGAAGCAACAAGTCGTCCTACTTCAGAATTTGAGGCAGAAAGAAAGTCCACATCTGATGCGCTCTAGTCACTTCAGGCAACAAGATTTCAACGCTCCAATACCCATTGCATTGTCCAGATTCCCAAAGCAGTTGACACTACCTTCAAATCGAACCCCACTGTCAGTCCAACATATCATAGATGTGACAAGGCAAGTTCCGGTATCCCTCGTGAATCATGACGAGGAACACATACCTCTCTTCCGATGATTGCGATCGCAGGCAGCGTGAGTATCCAGGCAGGACCTGTGATCACCGTGGCTGGCCGGGAACACAGCAAGACCAGGGCTGCGGCCACCATCAGCTGCACCCGCACAGAGTTCAGCATCATGCCCGCACTCAGGCTGATGGAGCATCTGGCGCATTCGTAAGCTCTCGACAATGACCGATCGCAAGTGGAAGAATCTCAAAAACCTGGAGTGTCATTCGGCTCAATCAGAGGTTTTGGGGCTTTTGTCATGTTCAGTTCGTCTCACTTTGTCAGCCACCGGGTCTAGGAAGGCGCCAAATTCAGATGTAGTGTTCATCTGCAATAGAGAACGTTCTCCATCTGTCGGCAGATTTGAAAGGTGTGGATCTTCAAGGAACTAGACTGCAGCCTCGATCGCCAAGCTTCAAGACTTGCATAATACTTACAGCATGAAGCTTTTTACACGACCTGGATTCTCTGCTGTGGGAGCACAAGAGCCACAATGAGGAAAGCATAGTAAAACAGGTTGGCCCACCTTGCGAGCTAGGTACCCATCGAGCCAATCTGTCAGAGCGGCAGCAACAAAGATGCTGGAACGCACGAGAGGTGTGGCCCAGGAGTGGGAAGAGTAGAATGCTGCAAGTAAGGCAAGGGATGCTGTTAGGATGTTGCTTTAGGGTGTCGAACTCCGCGGCGATTCACAGTTCGTATATCTCCAATCAGTGGGGAGCAGACCTCTGATGCTGCACTAATCCGCGTGGCTCTCAGCTGGCATTGATGTCAAGGTGGTGTCTAGCACTCTTTCTTTCTGAGCATGTCCAGGTCCTTTCCACCCACCAGCGGCTAGCAGGGGTACCGCAAGTACCCTTGCCAGGGTCAGGCATGTTGGCAGGTTCAATATGGACTGAGGCTCTGGTTCGCTGGCCGTGTTTCGGTCCCTGATGCCCTCCGCCGTGCAGGAAGGCAGACGATGCTGGCCCGTAGAGCGCGAGGATCCAGGAGTAAGAAACAATACTGAACAACTATGAGCTCTATGTCCTTTCACAGAGACCCCGAGCTGAGGAGAAGGGACCGGACTTGGACGAAAGGAAGGAAAATGCTGAGTGTTGACTGGGTGCACCAGCTGATAAGCAGCTGGACTGGTTTTGCCAGAGCTCCAATTAGCAGCCTTGGCCAGCCTGCATCCGCCTGCCTTGAGGAACAATGGACGCAGGGGATGCTGTGATGTGGTTGCCATGAGAGCACCTTTGCTTGAAGACAGGAAGCCTGAAACGATGCAGACTGCAAAGCTATCTTTTGCAAGGGCTCAGGCTTGGCTGCTGTCAACCTGCTGTCAACTCGGAACCTGGGCTGCAGCTGATGCCAACTGCACTGACCAATTGTGGCAATCTGTGGCCAGGTGTCAATGTGGCTTCACAGGGAACACTAGGTGCTGGGCGACGCAGCTCTTTGCTTCTTCAAGTGCATTGTTCGCTGGCGTCAGGGCTGGCACATATCCAATGGCAAAGGCCTGCTGGCAGACTGCTTTGACACTGGGTACGATAGTGGGAAAACGCCAATTGCCAATGGCTGACCGCGCTGATCCTTACAGCTAGTATGTGCGCAGCATATCATCAACCTTTCAGCGTTTGCGTCGGGCCTCTTATCGTGGTCCATGCCCCACCTGCTGGTGGCACCAGTGGTGAGGTAGACCATTTGCCCCCCCTTTGTCCAGCTGGCCTGGCATCATGCGGAATCAGGCATTGTTCAGTCCTGTTGAACACAGATGCAAGCAGCAGCCCAGTTCTAGGTGATATTACAGATTCTCTTGAGTGTCACCAGCAATCTAGAACTGGGCTTGCACCACTTCCAAAAGTGGAATTCTGCTGTTGCTGAGCGCACTCATGAAACCACGAGGCACAACGCGGAACAACTGAAGTTGAACCGCAAGCATCAATTGAAGTTGAACTTGAAGAGAGACTCCAGTCTCCTTCCTCATCTGAAGATTGAAGTTGAAGAGAGGTTGTGAAGGAGCTTTGAAGTTTGAAGCTGAAGCCCTCCAACTGCATTTGTTCCACTAAAATGTTTGAGGCGCCACGGATCATTGTATTTTGCGAGATGCAGGACTGTCGAATCACGTCAGTGTGGAGGCTCCTGGGTAACTTGTGAGTGGCACCCTTGCATGCTGTGATGGAGGGCAATCGAAGATGGGACGACCTGCTGCACGAAAGCACTCGGCTGGTAGCAGACGGCCCTGGGGTGGACACGCAGTTCCCATCTCTCGAGAGGAACTTGGATCAGCTAGAGCAGCTGTCACGGCAGCTGAAAGCAAGAGTGGCCCGTTATGACAGCACGCGCGAGGAGACAGCAGCGACCAGGTGAGGCCTGCGCAGATGGGGGCATGCTGCAGCTGGAGGGTGGCGGCAAGGCAGGGAGCATCTTCTTGCTTCTCAGTCAACCTTCTTGCAGTGGCGGGAATTGACATTGAAGGCGCTTTCCAACATCTCCCCGGGTTTAGAGTCGTCTTCTTCATTTAAGGAGAACACCTGCATTTGTGGCCACGGTAAAGCTTGCTGATGTGGTGGCTTCGTATACGGCATTGAGCCAGCACCTGACCAAGGCGCAGCTAGTTGCGGTTGTGTGGACATGTGAGCATCAGCCGCTGCGTGGATGGCTGCAGGCTGCTGGCCCGGGAGGGCATCGACGCTGACCGCCTGACGCAGGACCTGCGTTCGTTTGAGCTCAAGACCACGTTTGAGGATGTGTTCCCGGTCGACGCCACCAGTGTGGAAGAGTACCTGCAACACGTGCATGAGATGACGGTCCTAGCCGCCATTCAGGAAGCGCAGCAGGAGGGACTCAGCAGCTTCGATGACTTCATGTTTCAGGCGTCGCAGGTGCAAAGTCGAGAATAGAGTCTGGAGCAAAACTGATGGCCTGCAGCGGGTCGCTGGCCTGCGTGTCCTGCACTGCCTCTACATCCACATGTCAGAATCTTTCGCGCAACTCATGTATACATGACCATTGGGGGGCGGAGGTTTACTAAGCACCTTGTACACTGATCGCCAGCCCACAGGCTGTAGCCCCAACTCGCACGTTGGTGTTGCCCACTCGGCTCCTTGGTAGAAAGGCAGGCTTCCCCTGTCCCTCTGCAGGCCGCCTGGAAGAAACAGAAGCAGGACTTCCTGCAGAGCCTGTCCCGAGCCCCCGCCATTGCTCCCCTCCCGCCTACGTCCAGCGCAGCCCTGCTCTCTGACAGGCCGTATGCAGGTGGGAAGGCTGGACCCACTAACCATGTGACCACAGGCTGTTTGTCGGGGGTGGGTGTATCGCCCTTGGTATATATTGACAGAGACTGTGACTGAACAACGTTGTTTCTGGCCTGCTCCCGTGGTTGTGAAGCATTGTGAAGCCATGACCCCATTCCTGTTGCGTGACTCCCAACTGGCCCTCTGCCGCCAGACCCGGCCGCCGGGCGGCCTTCCGCAGGCGGGCCCCTTGCGCTGGCTGCAGTGGGGCCTTCCGGGGCCTGCGCGTCGCTGGCAGAGAAGGCGGCAGCCGCGTACGCCTCCGCAGTGCACCAGCTGAATGTGGCGCGGGATGGCGGGCAGGAGGTGCGCGCGGCGACCCTGTTCAAAGACGCATTCCAGAATGCCGCGGGGAACGAGCGGCACGGGCGCTCGGTGGACATGCTGCGCATCTGGCAGCTCGTGCAAGTGAGGCGCCCCTTCTTGGCTGTTTCATTCCCTCCATTCCCCTGCCTGTGCAAGGGGATCTGCTGGGCCTGCTTCCCAAAGTGACAGGGAAACGCCTGTAAGGCTCAGAGGTCATCATGCGAGCTGGAGCCTTCATAAGACAACGCCCGAGTCCTCCAACGGGGCCAAATACAGCGCTGAAACGGGTACCTAGACCGCCGTGGCAAGACATCAGTTCGAAGGTCCGTTTTTATGCGAAAGTGTCCCTGCAGAGTATGTAATCGCCCCTCAAGACGTCCATGTTGTTGGGTCAGTTGGACTTCAGAGGCCCCCGCACACCTGAAACCAGGGCTGCTCTTCCTTGGCGCAGTCCCTTTTGGGGGAGGACGGCGCCACGCCCCGCGGGCGCTCCTTGGGCGTGGCGGGCATGCTGGCGGGGGCGCGGGCACACCTGGAGGCGGGCCATGCGCAGTACCTGCTGGACGTCATCCACAGCCACCCCGCACAGGCGGCGCTGGGCGGCTCCCCCGGGCGGCTGCCCCGCGTGCACGCCTTCCTGCGCGTGCGCCTGCGCGGCCAGGGCGACCTCGACTTTGACCGCCACGCCGCAGGAGCCCGCCCAGGCATCGACACCACATGGCAACAAGTAAGGCGCAGGGAGGCTCTCCAACTTTGGTGTTGAGTCGAGATGGGCGGCGGGCATCCTGGCAGGGACAAGAGTGCCTCACTCCTGAGAGAGGCTCGTTCTCGGCTGGCTATCCGTCCCTTGCTCTGAACAAATGGCAAGTCAGGAGAGAAACAAGTGGCACGTTCTTCCTATAGGACGTTGCTGTAAGTTGTTTCTTAAATGGCAGGGAGAGTCTTCGTGGGCTTGCTTCCACGCGTGACGCTGGCTGACCATCCTCGGCCCGGGTGGTGACTTCCGTCTGTTCGATGTGCAGATCTACTTCTGTCTGCGCTCCGGCTTCTACGAGGAGGCCAAGACCGTGGCGCGCAGCTCACCCTTGAGCAAGGACTTTGCGCCCAAGGTAATGCATACATCCGGCTTCTGTCGATGGTGTTCACCTATCCTTGTTTTCTTCCGCCCCACGCCTGCCTCGGCCTCATGCATCCCTGCCAGCCTCTTGCCGCGCTGGCATCGCCGTGTGCGCCTCATCGAGCCGTCCTGGCGGTGCAGCTGGAGGAGTGGGTGGAGCAGGGGGGCTGCGTCTCTGACGCAACGGCTGCCAGGCTCACGGAAGACTGCGCTCGAATGGCCCGCGAGGTCGGCCGCCAAGGTGAGGCCTGCGCCCAGGAGTGGGTACCGGGGGAGACACTGTTCTCATCTCACGCTTGCGCCTGTGAAGGTTGCTCCTCACACCCGCTGTCCTGTCAGGCCTTTAGTGCAGATTGCAGAGTACTCGACTGCTGTGTGGAAATGGGATCAGATTGGGCTTCCCCTTCCCGCATGCTCGATCCCTTCGGGAAGCGCAGGCCTGCTGACATGTTCGCCGCGGTGCCTGTGCCTTGTCGCCCCTGTGTCTCAGGGATGCGTTGTGTCCTGCGTGCAGGGCGGCCCGGGTACGACAAGCGGCAGATGCTGGTGTACGCGCTGGTGGCGGGCAGCCGCGACGCGGCAGAGCGCCTGCTGCGGGACGTGCCGGTCCTCTTCAGCACCATCGAGGACTTCATGTGGTCAGGACCCCGGGCCCAATGTGTGCCCACCGCTCCAGCTGTGGGCCGCGCTGCCGCTTCGTCTTTGAGCAGAGCTTGCCCCCTCGACGTGGTGTGCCTGTTGTTGATAATAGTATCGGATGGAGGAACCTGATTTCGAGGGCCCCATGGACCCTCGCTTCGCCTCGGTCAGCGATGCACAGTGCAGTACGGAGGTAGGAAAGCGCAAAGCTGCTTCAGGCAGCCGCTCGTGGGCGCGGCCCGTCGGGGGCCGTTCTTTTGGACGTGCCGTTTCACCCCCGTGCCGCTCGGCTGACTCTTCCCGTCGTCTTGGCCCCAGGTTCAAGCTGTCGCTGGTGCGCGAGGCGGGTGGCGCGGGCCCTGCGGCGGCGTCGCTGGCGGAGCTGCAGGCGTACCTGGCGCAGTACCCGCCGTCGTACTACACCAAGAACGGCAAGGAGCCGCTCGTCTACCCCTACGTCCTCGCGCTCAGCCTGCAGGTGACGCCCACCCCGCCCCACCCACGGGGCACCCGCCTTAAACGGCGGGGACACTGGTCCGTCGCTCAGTCGTGGACAAAGCAGAGGAACTGTGCAGACACGATGTGCCTGTCGACCACTTCATCAACACTCGTGTCGATCAGTTCCCCTCCGTTTGAAAAGAGTTTTCGCGTTGAACGGTGGGAGTGGGTGTCGAGTCGCTTCCCTTGCTGACTTCGCCGTGCTGACCTGCTGGCTGGCTGCTTCTCGCCCTCACCCCGGCCCGTCGCCCCCTCTCCCGCTGTTGTCGTTCAGCTGTCGGAGGCGGTGCTGCACCTCTCCAAGGACCCCGCCACGCAGGCCTACCGCACCGACGCGCTGCACCTGGCCGTCGTGCTGGGCACACAGGTTAGCACGCAGGGCGGCCCGGCCAGCTTGCCCCTTGGCTGCCACGCTGTGCCTGTCCTACTGCTGACGCATGGCTGTCCTCGACGCTTTTGCCGCAGTCCTGGCTCTTCTTCGTATGTTTGTCGAGCTGTCTTCTGGTGGCTCATCTTGTGGCGACGGTTTTCCCACAGGGTGCGCTGGCTGCGGTGTCTGGTCCCCCGGCCCGCGCAGGCGGTCCTTCCGATGCGGTGGCGGAGGTGGCGGCGCTGATCCGCAGCTACGGGGGGCAGTATCTGCAGCGGGGCCAGGCCGACGCCGCCCTCGAGTACTACGTCGCAGCCGCAGTCACCGCAGGTCAGCCCCTGGCATGGACCCGCCAACCCGCTTTGGGTGCCGTGCCAAAACATGCACCAGGCTGCACGGCCCTCCGATGCTCACGACCGCGCTATATGTGTCCCCTTCACGCATGGTCCTTCTCTCGAGCTTGACACCGGCTCATGGCAGGGCCCGCCGCAAGGCTGAGCGTTCTGCTGCAGCTGGAAGAGCGGGGACAAGGAGAGTGGTACCGAAGAGAAGCGATGCTAGACCCCTGTCGGATCTGCAGAAATTCTCAGGAGTCGACTTAAGATATGGATTTGAAGCGTCGGATTTCATAGGAAAAGTCATCGGACGGCTAATGTTCCGCTATGGTCCATCTTTCAACGTGGGGGAGAAGATGCCTCTCAAGCCGTTCAATGATGTGTCTCTGAGGGTCTAACGGCCAGAAGTTGACAGGATTGCCCGACAAGCCCTAACCAACAGGTTTCTAGCTTCGCTCCAAAACCGTTTTTCCTTGTCCCCGCTCTGGAAGAGCCGGCTTGCGGCTGGGCCACTCGAGACCTGGCTTCCATCCGCCGGCTGCCCGTTCCTGACTTCTGCCCCATCGCTCACGATTGCCGACTTGGACTGGCAGGGGGCGGTCGAGGGGCGGAGATCCCGCAGGCGCGGGACCGGATGCTGACGTCGTGCCTGCGCGAGCTGCTGCACACCCCCGCCGGGATGAACCTGCTGCTGGGCAACTGGTGAGGAGCGCGGTCCGTAGCGCGAGCGGGCCACCTCAGAGTGAAGACCTGGCTGCCTGATGCTTGTCCGAGAGCTCTAGAAGACCTCTTAGGTTGCCTAACCAAGGCGTTGAATTACCCCCTCCGCTCCATGTTTCTGGGATCTTTACGTCATGAAGAACATCGTTCCCCGCAAATCAGCAGCGTTTCAAGGCTTGAGGGAGGCAGCGCAGCCGCTGGTGACGCAGCGAGGATAGGTAATCTGAGGCTGTCCTGTCTTCCGGCTTTTGCCCTTGTCCGCCTGCGGTTCTGAGTGTGCTTGGGCGCGTGGGTGCAGGGGCGTGGGCCAGCGCGAGGGCGTGCTGCGGCGGCTGGTGCCGGATGCCGGTGCGCAGCGCAAGCTGGTGCTCAGCGCAGCCCGGGACTGTCTCGACACCGCGCAGTACGACGAGGTATCCGACCCAGCACACCGCCCGTGCTAGCCAGGCCAGGCTGTGCGTGTCGACAAGTCGTGGACCGGAATCGCAATGACTGCAGTCAGAAACATGGCAAACCCTCTTGAAGCAGGGTTGCGGCGCCTTCGATTCTCCTACATGCAAAGTCCACACAGAGACTGCTTCAGAACGAATGATCTTGTGCTCCGATTCTACCCTGTTGCAGAAACTGGAGTGCTGGCTGACACATCGACCTGGTCGCTGCAGGCTACGGAGCTGTTCAAGCGGGCGGAGGCGTTCGCATCAGCCCTAGAGATCGTGAATCGGCGTCTATCGGAGAGCATGAGCCGGAGCGAGCAGGGTGAGCGCCGGGGGCGGGGCAGCAAGGAGGGAGACAGCGGCACCAGGCCACGATGTCGATCGTCGAGCACTGCAATCACTGTTGCATCTTCGTGGAAATTTTTACACATGCCGATTGACAAGGGGGCTTCCGATCGGCCTGCGCGTCGCAGTACTGCTGGTCTGACTGCCAGCAGTGGCTGGTGCAGGGGGGGATGCACGCGCGTCGAACTTGGCAGGACGCGGTGCCGAGATCATCGAGGCTGCGCGCGCGTTTGGCACGGGGGCGGGCCCCCAGGAACGCGACCAATTTGCGCGGCAGGAGGCCGCCTTCAAGGACCTGGCCACGCTGCGCACCGTCAGCGCACTGGCCGCCGCAGGGCGGGCCGCCGAAGCCATCCGGGTAGGGACGCACCACGGGGCTGTGTAGTTTCAAAGATTTCGAAGATTAGTCAGAGAATGCCAACCGTAGCTGTGAAAAGTTGCAATGTTCTCACTCCAGTTGACTCTGCCTCTGATTGCTTTAGCTGCCGGATTCCCACGCTTATGTTGTGGGTCATGCTTGGGTATGCATTCTTGGATTGGCCACGCTCTTCTTGGTTGCAGCAAGAGGACAGAAGACGGGGCAAAGATACTGAGGACGGGATGTTCGACAGTGGGGATGCGAGTTCTTCTTTTTACAAGGAAACTTAGGCTTTCCACAGACAACCGACAACTTCGAGCATCTTGCGACTGCTAAGCCCACTCATTGAAACACACTGGTGCTCTTTCTTGTTGGTTTGGCTACGCTCGCAGTGGAAGCGAAAGGGAACCGCTATTCCTTGCACTGTCAGCACCGCCTGCCCCGCACTCTTACTGGCTCTGCCGCGCCGTGTGTGCTGACCCCGTGCGCATTCCTTGCAGGAGCTGGCCTCGCTGCCGTACCTGCCCTTCGGCGACCGCTCCGTGGCCGACAGCGTCGAGGCCCTGCGCGGCGCGCCCCGCGGTGTGGAGGACAGGCTGCAGGTAGGCGCAGCGCACGTGGCAAGCAGGGCAGCCACCCAAACAGACTTAACACAGAAAAAGGGATCTACAGCAGCATGCAAAGTGATGTTAGCGCTCCACCCCGCTTTGGCCCCTGCTGCCAAGTGAGGATTCCCTCTGCTAGGCAGGCCCATCGCCCCCTGCAGAGTCAGCACGTCCCTGCGTCAGCACGGGCCCAGCAGCTGTGCGGCTCGCACTGCCTGGCACAAGGACCGGCCACGTGTCAAGCCAGACGAGCTCTTTCAGCTGATCGACAATCTGGCCACTGCCCACTGCGCGAGCTGCTTCCCCCCTCTCCGTACTGTCCTGCTTTCTTCCCCGCCCCCTGCCCTCTTAAAGTGGTCCCCTGTGCGTTGTGCAGGACGCCCTGCGGCTGCTGCCGCCCCTGCTGGCCCGCCTCCCCGACACCGACGGCTCCGTGCGGCAGCTGCGCACCAAGGTACAGCCGCCCCCCGCCGCTCCGTGCGCTCCGTGCAGCAGAGCAGCCACGGCGTGGATACTAGAGGAGATTCCTGGTGTGGGGGCAGCAGGGGGGCTGTCTGTGGCTTGTGTCCGGAAGATGTGATCACCCCCCGCTCCACTGTCTGACCCCGCCTCGTCTTGTTGCAGCTCGCCAACTTCGTCGCCAACACCGGGGACCGCAACTGGGCACAAGCGACCATCGACAGCATAGCCGGGATGCCGAGCCCGTTTGGGGCCGCCGGTCGATGAAGTGCAGAGGTCGGCGGCTAAGCAGAAGCGGCACGAGCTGACCGGGGCTGGGAGGCGGGGTGATTGACCAGGCAGGAAGGTCGCGTCAAGGACGCTCCCACCTCGGGCATAAAAACGCCAGCCGCAGCTGCAGTGTAAAACTGCCGTGAAGGAATGACTGAAGCGCCGCTTACCTGCAGCTGAGAGCAGGCTGTGCCGCCAGCCGATGTGCTCCAAGTGATTGTCCAAATGCCGATTTTGACAGGCACTACAGGGCGACCTGTGGCCATCATAGCCTAGGTCTACCTGTGGCTGCATGGAAGTTCTGCCGCATCTTGGATGATGGAGTCGCAGGCATGTGTTGGCAAAGTTTTGCACAGCCACATACTAGCATACGTTGTACACCTTGTGTGTCTTATCTTTACCGAGTATTTTTATGAGCAGATCGGATTCTGCTTACTGTGCCGGTGTTCGAGACATGTAATCCTTCACTAATCATTCTGTTTTATTGTATCTGTTGTGCCTCCTTCATGTCGACAGAAGAACGCATAGCATTCCTAAACGGTCAAACAGGCTAGACTCTCTGCTACATGCAGATGTACTGAGCGTTTACATCGTAATCATGCCACGAAGAGCGATGCATGTCTCCGTGGCAATATGCATGTTTTCCATAATATCAAAGAGCTATTTGTTATTTGCGGGATGTTACTGTGTCAACTAGGCCGGAATTATCGACGAACCTGGCGAGAATGATATAATTGAACTGGCGAACTAGTCTGAGGCCCGAATGCCCCACGTAGTAAACAATGTCCAGCTCCGTATGAGAGTTGAAGCCAGGCTTCAGTTCTAGCCTTATTATGTTGGTGTACAGACAAAGCAGGGACGTACCACCTTCCGATGTAGCTCTTGTATAATTGTATAATTCCAGCTTTCAATATACACGAGTCGACGTCTGCCTTGATTGAAAGGCCGCCCGCAGATTTATGGTATAAACAGATACACGCAGAAAAATGGTACCCAACGAGGTGCACTCATAAAAATGTTTGTGCTCAAGTTTGCGGTTCTAATACATGATGTTCAGCCTCTTTTATCCTAACTGTAATATATATTAACTCTGCATGTCGCTTGTCACCAAATTTGATGCATATGTCACAAAACGGTAAGGATTTGATGCATTTCTATAGCATGTAAGGTGTTTTGATACAGGCTACCTGTTATAAAATGTGCACAAAGTATATCCTGAGGTATACTCCACTAGCATTTCTTTGCAACAGGCATTACGATAAGTCTGTGTGCATACGTGTACAACACAGAAGGGAATGCACTAAAGAAAACATCAGTTTCTGAGAACTTGATTATTCCGACATACCGTTGTTTTGTAAGACGATTTTCTGCTTTTTAATATATGCATCTACAGCGAGTGCGTCACAAGAAGTTTTTATTCACTTCATTTCCTTTTCAGATGGATACATTGCAGAGTACTGGTAAAAAAATTTCCGCCTCAATATGTTCCAACATCTACTCAGTTCTCAATAAGCTAGACTTTGCGCACCTTATTTCCTAATTGATGAGAGCAAAACCGTCCCACTTGCTGAAGAATTGAGCAAGCCGAGACAAAACTACACCTACTTTAAGCGTGCCTTTGCAATAAATACATCTCCACTTCCCCCTTCCCATTAGATCATCTTCCTTCCGGTTGAGGATGGGGCCGGGGTGGAGTTAGCGCCGTCGGTGGAGGCGCTGCCGTTCCCTGCGGCTGCCGTCGCCACAGGCGCGACCACCGTGGATACACCGGAGGTGGGGGCGGGTGCGGTTGTCCCCGAGCCGGGGCCTGCGGCGCTGGGGCTGGAGCTGGGACTTGCTGCGCTAGGGCTGGAGCTGGGGCCTGCGGCGCTGGGGCTGGAGCTGGGGCTTGCAGCGCTCGGGCTCTGTGCGGGAGCGGCGGCGGGAGTGACGGCGGAAGCGGTGGCGGGAGAAGGGGCAGCGGCTGACACGGGGGTCGGGGAGTTGGGCACGGGCTGCCCAACGGCGACGGCGGTGGCGGGGAGGGTGGCGGGGGCCTGGCTGCCCGGGGGCGGGTCGGCCATGGTGGACACGTTGTCGGGCTGCTCCAGGGTGTTGGGGTTCGCGAAGCCCGTTCCGGAGAAGGCGCTGAAGTTGGTGCCCGGCCGCGTGCTTGCGTACTGCGGGCCGAGCGGGGTGGGCAGGTTGATGCGCCCGTTCACACCGTCGGGGAAGAAGCATCCACGGCCGTCAGGCGCGCCGCACGTCAAAATGTTGAGAACCTGCACCAAAGGGAGATTTGATGAGTACATGAAAACCAAGGAGAATAAACGCCTCGCAAAAAGCGAAAGCATGATGTAAAGATTGGCTGTCACAGACACTGCACGGCGAAGTGGTCATGCGGACGGGGGGTGCTCAAAAGGGCAATGTACCTGCTGCGGCGTACGTGAGAAGGTAACACCGTTCCCATCGGTGGGCACGATGTTGATGCCGCCGGCGAAGAACAGCCCCTGGTCCACATTCTGCACACACAACATACGGCGGCATAAGAAGCAGCAGGCGCAGCAAGCGCAGCGAGTCAAGAAAGCACCACCACACCAACTTTGCCTGCTATGTAAAAGCGGGATTCCAATCCTCTCCAGGTATGGCGTATATGTGCACCAGCGGCATCAAGTAAGGATTGTGACCATTCCGTGACCTTGACACCATGTGCATTCGCCACGCTGAATAAAGAACCTTTCCATCTTTCATTGCGAAACTTACTGCGGGCCCGTCGAGAGAGTCGCGGTAGTTGGATATGGCCTGCACCACCTCGGCCACACTGACGCCGAATGGCTGCACAATGACGTCGCGGTTCTGCCACAGGTAAAACCTCTGCGAGGATGCCTGATAACCGGCGGAGACAGCAAGCCCCGCAGCCCCGTCACGCAGGGTTGCGTTCTGGAGAAGCACTGCCACGCCCTGCGTAACAACCGAATGTCAGTAAAATGACGAAGATAACACCTCATATGACTTTCTTCGTATAAACCCAAAAAACCGGCTCACAAGACGCGGATATTGTGCACAAGAGACAAAAGTTCCACCTCGTACATCTCCAACAATACACAAATTCCCCCACACTCAGACATTGACCCGAAATGTTTTGCTGCAAGCCACCGTACCTTATCGCCGGTGGCCCCAATCTCCTCGAGGCTCCAGATGGCGAGCACCAGGTTGACACTGTTGGCGAAGGGGTCGAAGGCCGTGGGGTACGTCGTGTTGAACGCGTTGGCGAAGAAGGTGCCGAACGCGGAAATGTTCACCAGCGGGCACGGCGACGCCAGCGGGCCCAGCGCCTCGCGAATCAACCTGCGGCAAAGACGTCAACAGATCAGTCTTGCAGATCGTCAACGGCCAATCGGCCCAACGCAAGCAGGCGAGATCTATTCAGATAGAAACGTTCGCTTACTGCAGTCAAACTTAGATGTCCATTTCGAAACCGATTCAAGCAAGCCGACTTCGTCCATGAATCGACCTTGAAAAACAAGCCGACTTCGTCCACGAATCGACATTTAAAAACCGGCAATTTCCGGTCGTCCACGAATTGACTTTGACCAACTGGCAATCTTCGGCCCTCGAAGCAAAGTATACAGGCCAATTAAGCATTTTGAAATCTTCTCTAAATCGACCCTGCTGGATGCTCCAACCTCAAACGGACGCTGCGCTTTAGCCAATTGCAATGCCTTGCCGTACATTCGCCATACATTTCGCTGAAACCTTCATGATTTCGGTAAAAACACCTCCTGCCTCTTTTTTTAAGGATGCAATCTGCAGGCACGAAGTCCCACGAAACTTCACCAGAACATTTTCCATGAAAACTCGTGAAAGTGCCCACTTCTAGTAACGTGCCATTCACAACTTTTCTTAGAGGCGAGACTTGGGGGAGAAGTAACCTGAGACTCAAGGATCAACCGCAATTGCAATTAACTGCAAGTCCTGTAACACCGGCTTCAGCAAACAATCCGCAGATGATCATGTCGGTATAAACTCATTCCCCAAAGGTCGTGATTACATACCTGACATGCCCTGCCTCATCCCGCGCCGTCTCCTGCAGGAACGGCAGGATGTCCGCACTAATGTTAGCCCGACGCGCGCCAATGGCTCCGGAGCCCCCCGCTTGCAGCAGTGGGTCCAGCGGCACGCCAAAGGTGGCCGCGCTGTCGAACTCGGCCTCAAGGCACTCCGTGTTCACCAGAAAGTTGTACAGGTCGAAGTCGGTGTAGCTCTGCAGTGCGCCTGCTCCAGCTGCATTCACAATAATATGTCAACATTGAGGGGCAAGAGCAGAAGCAGACAAAGAGAAGAGAAACATAGGCAGGCGGGACGTCTGGGCACTGCCGCTGCAAAGAAGAAGAGAGGCGCTTTTGACAACGGGTTGCATGCACCTTTCAGGGCAACTCACAGCAGGAGCACGAACCGCAGCCTTACCTGCAACCTGCGCCCAGGTGCTGCCCACGAAGGTGTTGTCTGGCAGCACGGCGCCATTCATCACAATGGGGGTCTGCCCCGCCAGGCTGTTGGTCACCTGCCCCGACACACAGCTCAGGGACAGCACAGCAGCCACAGCCCACACTAAGGCCGCCATCTGCACAAGCAAGGGGACGGATCCATGACTTCAGTAAAAGCAAAACGAACCAACACAGTAGTAAAAGACTTTTTGATAAAGTGGTGGACTGACTGCAGTACAGGAAGGAGACACGATGAGTCACCAGACAACGTCCACTTCAAAGTACATCAGTGGAACACATCTACACACTATCTTTTCTTGTACTCATCGCTGCTGTTATACTTTCCAGCTACAATCGTACACCACTAAAGTGATTCGTAGAAACTTGGCTAGACGCTCCCCAACATCTACAAACTGTCAACAAACCAGCTAACTGACTTGGTGACTCAGGGAAGAGCTTCAGCACCGCGCATACAGTCGATCTCGATTGAAAGTTCCATAGAAAGGAAATGAGTAAACCGGTACCCTCTGCTCTGTGACCAAGAAACTTCACAGCGACCTGCTGCGTCCAGCGAGATTTACCAGCGGACAAACTCACCTTGTTGCAACGGTTGCTCTCAACTGTTTCGAGAAGGCAAAGGCGAAGCCACCTCCAAGCAGCCCTGGAATGGTGCGTCCTGGAACAGCTAATTTGAAAGCCCGCTTTCAGATTGGAAAAATGAAGGCTGTGCAGATCGGACGAATCAGTCTCCCACAAGAGAGTCGAGGTCCTGTCAGTACCGTATGACCCTAGGGAAGCCTGTGCCGTACTGCTGTAGGTATCTACCAGGGAAGCTGTTTCCTGCTATCGCCATCCATTGCAGTGTGCACTGCAGGCTGGCCCGGCTCACCGGCCGCCTGCATGCACGCATACTGGTCGAAGCATTAATGACGTCCGTAGCTCGGCCCTGTGATTGGCTGCGAGCTGCATGCATCGGCGGGTGGCACCTTGCGGGCCCTCGTCTCGCGATTTTCCTGCACACCTGCACACCACGTACGTCGGAGCAGGCACTCCTCTTCTTGACGAAGTTCGCGTTAGGCTGATGTGTCAGGCATGCATGCAGGCTGGTTGCACTGCTTGAAGCTCTGTATAGTGGTGGGGGCAGCTGAAGAATCTAGAAGGCACACCGGTCCCCAT